CGCCCACCGGCGAGGGAGGCAGGCGGCGGCGCGGCGAGCGTAGGCGGCGGCGCGGTGCGGGCGGCGCCTCGCCGGAGCGCGAAGGGACGAGGCGGCGCGGGGCGGTGCCACTGGCCCGGTGGGTGGCTCGGGCGGGCCTCTCGCGGGCTCGCCGGGCCGCGCGGTCGAGTGGCGCGACAGGGACAGGTGGCGGTCGCTGAGAGGGCGCGGGCGGCGGTGGACACGTCCGGCGCGCGAAGAGGAGCGGGGAGCTAGGGTTAGGGTAGACTTGATCCGAAATTTTCGGGGAGGAGGCCTTTTTATAGATAGGAGGAGCTAGGAGGCTCCAAATGGAGTGCGGTTTTCGGCCACGCGATCGTGATCGAACGCTCTAGATGATGGAGAGGGTTTGGGTGTGTTTTGGGCCAAATTGGAAGGGTGTTGGGCTGCAACACAAACGAGGCCTTCTCGGTCCCTCGGTCAACCGTTGGAGTATCAAACGAAGTCCAAATGGTACGAAACTTGACAGGCGGTCTACCGGTAGTAAACCAAGGCCGCTTGGCAAGTCTTGGTTCAATCCGGAAATGTTTAACCCCCACACACGAAAAGAGATAGAAAGGACCACCGGATGACATAGGAGCGCCGGAATGCAAAACGAACAACGGGGAAAATGCTCGGATGCATGAGACGAACACGTATGCAATGCAATGCACATGATGACATGATATGAGATGCATGACAAAGGCAAAAACACACGGAGACAAAAACCCGACACCGAGAAAAATAAAATAACTTAGGCCGGAAACGGCAAGAGTTGGGATACAGATAAGGTAAATTACATCCGGGGTGTTACACCTTGTAACGTAGCTTTAATGGGGGCGGCAAGGGTTGGCAACCCTTCTATAACCAGACACACAGAGAAAACATAGACTCGGGGCTCGAGACGTAGGGCTTTTACCTCTCCGTGAGGTGTTTGAACTCGTAAAATCTGAGTGTCACACCTCGCTGTAGCTAGGTTCCGCCCCTATTCGTACCCCTAGTACTCACTTGCAGATTCATTGCCTCGGCAAGTTGCTCTAGGCCGGCACACAAGGGAGCACTGTGGCACCGACATCGTGGTTGCCGTGGACGAGGTCGCGTCGTACCGCCCACACCATCACCGTCAACGTACACGTAAGCGTACCCTGTCAGCAGAGAAGAAGCCGGCTTCGCTGAGATGAACGAAATTGTGGCTAGCACGTCCGCGCCCGCCTCCATCGTCGCGGAGAAGTAGAACACGGAGGTCGCCGCTGCTTGGGTCCCATGAAGGCCACCACTGAGGTGACGCCGGCGTACACAGCTGGTGTCTTGCCCAATCGCAAATCATCGTCTTCCACTTCCTCTCCGGCATCGAGAAAAATACTCCCTTTGTTTACTTTTATAAGACCTTGAAGTCATTTTAGACAATGTACAAAACAGTCCATTTTAAGTTATCTGGAATGACTTAAAAAATGAACTGAGAGAGTAATAAAATTCATGATGACGTGGCCACGGCGACGCCCAGAATAATACTGCAGTATAATTTTGTGAACCGGAGAAGGCAGTCTTGCAGTAAGACGTGACCGTGGCATGTCCCTCCTGAGCCCGGTCTCGACGCTACCCGAGATACTACTATCGATCAGCATTTAAGCAGTATACGCTGCATTTTTCCTGCATTTCACGATCGACCGGTCTAGTCCGTTGCAAAGCTGGCGTAGAGGTTTCGTCCGATCCTATCCCAATCGGGTAAATCCCTGGACGTGGGATGCATTTACGATTGGCCTGTAGAAACCGTGTCGCTCGAGCAAGGTTGGATAGCTCCGCACATTAATTGCGCGCCGTGTGATCGCCGGCAATGGCAAGGTGACTGATCGACCCGCCTGTGGCACACGAAGGATGGGGTTCTGCTTCTGCACAAAGCCCATATCCATATAAATTCAACGCCACTCCCGCTGTAATCTGCACATAGCCAAACAGCCATTTCCTACCCAGCTCAATGGCCTCGCCGTCCTCCATGCCTGCCCGTATTCACATCTTCCTCCTAGCAGTCCTGCTTTCTCCCGTCCCGTTTTCTTCTCCCGGTCCGACCAACGGCAGCGACACCGACCTCGCCGCCCTTCTGGCTTTCAAAGCGCAGCTCGCCGACCGTCTCGGCGTCCTTGCCGCCAACTGGACCACCGGCACGTCCTTCTGCCGCTGGGCCGGTGTCTCGTGCAGCCGGCGCAGGCAACGCGCCACCGCCTTATCATTGCCCGACATGCCTCTCCTTGGGCCACTGGCACCTCATGTCGGTAACCTCTCTTTTCTCTCCGTCCTTAACCTCAGGAACACCAATCTCACAGGGCCTATCCCTTCCGAACTTGGCAGGCTACGTCGTCTCAGATTCCTCGGTCTTCATCAAAAGAGCCTGTCAAATGCCATACCTGCTGCCCTAGGCAACCTCACGAGGCTCGAGTTTCTCTATCTTCATTTGAACCAGTTGTCAGGCCAGATCCCTCCTCAGATGATGCTACGCATGCGCAACCTTACACAGATTAATCTGTACGGGAACGGCTTGAGTGGACAAATACCTCCGTATTTGTTCAACAACACGCCTTTGTTGACGTTCGTTAACTTTGGGAACAATAGCCTCTCAGGTCCTATACCACACGCCGTTGCATCACTATCCATGCTTGAATTATTAAGACTGGATTTTAATCAACTCTCTGGCCTGGTGCCACAAGCCATGTTCAACATGTCTAGATTACAGGAAATTTCCTTAGTAAATAATCGTAACCTGACCGGAACATTTCCGAGCAATCAAAGTTTCAGCCTCCCAATGTTACAGGTTGTTTCCATATATGGTAACAAATTTGCCGGTCGGTTACCATCAGGGTTTGCATCATGCCAATACCTACAAGTAATTGATTTGCACGAAAATTCTTTTGTGGATGTTCTGCCGACATGGTTGGCCAAATTGACAAACCTCAAAAAACTTAACTTGGGTTTTAATCACCTTATTGGCTCGATCCCAGCGGCCCTTGGTAATCTTTATCTTTATCTTTACCTCTTTATCTTTATCTTTATCTTTACCTATATATATATATATATATATATATATATATATATATATATATATATATATACTAATAAACCAGCTATTGCTTTTGGTCGTCCGTCGTGGTTGTTTTGCAAAACAGCCCCTCAGTTTATAGGAAATCAACCCGCACTCCCTGTTTAAGTGGATCTGAGAAAACGCTTTGATTTTACAAATTAAACCCTACATGTTTTAGAATTACGCCCGCACTCCTTTCTTCATCCTATCCGGTGGCAGAGAAGGTGGAAGGGGGGCAGCTTCGGCTGGGTTCTCGTCGGCGAGCTCGTCGGTGCGGAAGGTGCCCGCCTCGTTGGACGACGGCCGTCTCGGAATCCCCCCGCCTTCGGCCCTCTCGGCCTCTCCAGGTGGACGTGAGCGCCAGCGACCGCATCTCCAACATCCCGCCCGCGGCCAGGAATGGGGAATGGGCCGAGGCGTCGCGACGGAGGCCGATAAGGCGGCCGGCCTGCACGCCTGGGGCACCGGACCAAGCACGGCAGCATCGGCGCCGCCGTCGTGGGGCTCTTCAAGATGTACTACAAGATGGCCGCGCTGCTCGGGCGGCACAGCCGCAGCAGGGCCCTCCTCGCGGACCACGCGCCGGCGGTGACGCCCTTCGGGCGCCGCCGCGGACGGCTGAGCCTGGCCATCCACGAGAACACGCGGGCGCCGCCGGCGTTCCTCATGGAGCTGCCCATGCTGGCGGCCGCGCTCGCGTTATCGCTGGTCTCTTTCTTTCTTGAGCATCCATGAGAACGCCCCCACACAGCGCGAGGGGAGCAAGTGGCCGAGATGCCGATGTGGGGCGTGCGAGCTCGGCCGCGGAAGCGCTTGTGTAGTGTGTACCGTGCTTTCAGCGTGGTTGCTGCCGACGATGTGCTCCTCCTCGGGAAAGAGGACGTGGGGAAGCGGAGGCCCCGACGGGTGAGGCGACCTCACCTCCCACCCCGACCTCGGGCGGCGCTACTCCCGGACCAGACCCAACCCCAGCGCCACTTGCCATTGCAGCCTCCTGATGCGACATCCATCGCCTTCTTGAGATCTGGCGGCCACCTGCACACCAAGTGTTCGGTCAATCGACCCAACAAACAGGAGGTAGAGCATAATTGGTTTGATGCCAAAAATTGGCATGCCAACATTTGGCAAATGCCAAATTTTGTCCAGTGCTTGGTTGGCTACCATGTTTCCTTGCCAACCTCACAAAAAGTTGCCAACTATTGGCAACTTTTGATATTGCCAATTGTTGGCTTGCCAAGTATTGGCAATGCCAAATGTTGGCATCAAACCAATTATGCTCATAATTCGCCACCTCCTCGTCGAGATTCTTTGACGGCCACGCGTCGCCGCCTGCCGCCATGTTGCCATCCCTGTCGAGCTTCTTTGGTCACGTGTCACGTCGCTATCTCTTGACACGCCCGCACACCGCTGTCGCCGTCAACAGGTTTTCCGCCCCGCTTTCCCCAGCCATATCATATCACACTGCGGTTAATCACTTCCGATCCTCGTGTATGTTCGTCACTTTGGTGTTAGCAGCTCAGGAGTTTGTGTAACTGCGTCAAAATTGGCAGTAACAACCGTGGTGCTCATCCTGGCCAGAGTTTCAGGTTTCTGCAGATTTTGCAGTTCATTGCAAAGCAGATCAATGTAAATCTTCAGAAAATGTTTAGTTTGATATAGTGTTAACTCTCACTTTGCTTTATGTCAATCTGATTCCTGTTTAGGTAGTGTGCGTGATAATGTTGCGGGATGTATATGAATGAGTATGGACGTGCTTGATTTTGATGTGTAAGCACATGTTTCTGCAAAAAGAAAAAGAAAAACAACTATTTAATAGTGTGATGTCCACAGTGCTGCTACCAACTGTTCTACCTGAAATTAGTTTCTAGCTTATTAAGTTGTCTGGTAATAGCCTATACAGGTAACCGGGATTCATGTATAAATTTCTCTGTCTTTATGACTCACATAACTACAACTGAAGTAGAACAACTTAGCAAGGAAAGAAATAGCTAGATGAGAAATCGAGTGGTCTCCACGCTGCTTCTGCTGCTGCTACTGGCTGCAGTATGTGCTTATTTAAAAAATAAGCACATATATGAATTCATCAGGGTTTGGTGTCTTGGCGTTTCCTGAAATTTGGTTACCCAGAGCAGGCTGCTGTGGTGAGGTTCTGAATCCAGAAAGTGAAGAGCAAGCTTGATGGATATATCTGAAGATGACATACAGTATGGTCTTCCCGTGCTTGTTTTGTTTTAATTTCAATAAACAACACATTCCTGCCAAATAGGTGTTTATTTTTATGCCTAAAAGTATGTGCTTTCTAGAATAAGCTCCATGATATATAAGCATTGCCTGTGTTGAATGCTCCTAAATTATAGCACACATTTGCAGGTTCATATATGCATACTATACAATTGTGGTAGAAGCACTTGTTCTTATTCTTTTGTCTAATTAGAGTTTTAAATTAGTATGGTAGATGATTTCTCTAGCTCCATATTAGTTACAAAATATGAGCTTGTGAAGAGACAAATTTCTAGCATTTGCTTCAAATCTTATATAATTTTTGAAATAGATCCCAAAACTATTTAATCAGATGCTACTTGCACATTTTTCTGTTTTACTAGATGACGGTGCTCACAAATATCATGCTACTATATTCAGCCTACGATGGAGTATCTTCATGAAGTGCTTTTGATATTCCATTGTGTTTACTAGATGACGGTAAATCATTTTGAACTGTTGTGTTTCCGGTGACACCTAAATACATTGGTCGATCTACACCATGCTCTGCTCCTATTGACTGCTGATCACAAATCAGAACCCAATCTTAGATCTATTTGATTTGTTTCGTTTAGTGTTGGATGGTGCCAATTAAAGAAATTGTACTGTCATTCATCAATTTACTAATCAGTCTGGCCTGAATTCATGAGTTATGTGTGTGAGAGAATCTGTGCTCGAATGCGTTGTCACCTGGACTTTAAATCTTATCCAATGGTTTGGTCATCATTCCGTTGGTTGTTTGACTGGAGCTCATAGGAGGAGATGAATCTAACTGAATCTTCTTAGCTTAGAAACAAAAGTCGTTCTCTTGATGAACAGAGAACAATTGCTATTAATTTGTCAGCCATTGTGTTCCTTCTTGTACTGTAAATATAGTTTAAAAATTTCACAATTTTACATATGTTCACACTATCATTAATTCAAAAAAATATGTTCACACATAAAAAAAGCAAAAAATTCCAAAAAATGTTCCCTTTTTACTAAAAAATATTTCCACTTAAAAATGTACAACAAAAACAAGCAAAACATTATTTTTTAAAACATCTCTTCAAACAATGTTCCTTTTTAGATAGATGATCCAATTTCTTAAAAATAATTTAACTACTCTTTAAAAAGTGTTCCATTTTTTTTGAAAACATTAACTTTTATTAAAAATAAGAAAATTTCCATGTTTAACATTATCATCGACATTTATTAAAATTGGATATAAATAGTGCACAATGCACATGAAGCAGGTATATTTTTTCGCCCGGTGCAACGCACAGGCATATGTACTAGTACTAGTACTAGTACTATACTATACTATACTAGTACTAGTACTAGTACTAATAAAGCGGCTATCGCTGGTCGTCCGTCATTAAAATTACCCTCTAAGTTGATAAAAATTACCCACCAATGCCACCCATAAGTGGGAAAATAATTCAATTTTTTGGACCAAAAATCACCGTCTCCTTCGTTGTCATATAGCTGCGCGACGAGAATAATTCATGAAACGATAAGCGGCAGAGTGGTTGGCTGATCAGCTTTCACAGTATTTATCTTTCCTTTCTCACGCATGTCCCTATCCATTTCATGGGCCGGCCCATGTGCAGGGCTAACTCTCCTGTTTTATTTTAGTTTTTTTTATCTTTTCTTTTCTCATTTTGTTTTTTTCTTATTTGTTATTTAAATTATTTCGGGATTTTAATAATCTAAAAGTTGCAAGTTTTCAAAAAAAATGTTTGAGAAATCATAAAAATATATGTGAATTCAAAACAAAATTTTGCAGATTCAAATGTTTTTTTACTTTTTATTTTTATCTTTTCTTTTCTCATTTTTTTTTCTTATTTGTTATTTAAATTATTTCGGGATTTTAATAATCTAAAATTTGCAAGTTTTCAAAAAAAATGTTTGAGAAATCATAAAAAATTATGTGAATTCAAAACAAAATTTTGCAGATTCAAATGTTTAGAAAACCATAAAAATTTTGCAGATTCAAAAAATGTTGATGTTTTTGCAAAACTGTTCACAAAATTATAAAAAATCACAATTTTTTGAAAAAATGGTTGGGAAATAAAATCATGTTCATGATTTTGAAAAAATGATCATGTATTCAAAACATATTCGTGAGAAAGGAAACGATAAGCGGCAGAGTGGTTGGCTGATCGCTCCTGTAGCGGAGAGACCTGGATTCGAATCCCAGCTTTCACAGTATTTATCTTTCCTTTCTCACGCATGTCCCTATCCATTTCATGGGCCGGCCCATGTGCAGGGCTAACTCTCCTGTTTTTTTTTAGTTTTTTTTATCTTTTCTTTTCTCATTTTGTTTTTTTCTTATTTGTTATTTAAATTATTTCGGGATTTTAATAATCTAAAAGTTGCAAGTTTTCAAAAAAAATGTTTGAGAAATCATAAAAATATATGTGAATTCAAAACAAAATTTTGCAGATTCAAATGTTTTTTTTATTTTTTATTTTTATCTTTTCTTTTCTCATTTTGTTTTTTTCTTATTTGTTATTTAAATTATTTCGGGATTTTAATAATCTAAAATTTGCAAGTTTTCAAAAAAAATGTTTGAGAAATCATAAAAAATTATGTGAATTCAAAACAAAATTTTGCAGATTCAAATGTTTAGAAAACCATAAAAATTTTGCAGATTCAAAAAATGTTGATGTTTTTGCAAAACTGTTCACAAAATTATAAAAAATCACAATTTTTTGAAAAAATGGTTGGGAAATAAAATCATGTTCATGATTTTGAAAAAATGATCATGCATTCAAAACATATTCGGGAATCTGAAAAAAATGTCCATTCACAAAAATAAAAATAAAAATTTGTTCCCCAATTTTTTTTAAAAAAGTTCGTCGATTGAACAAATGTTTGTTGAGTCAAAAAATGTTAATGAATTCGAAACTGGTTCATACATTTAAAAAAATGTAAACAAAACTAATGTTCATGATTTCTTATTTCTTATTTAAATTAATTCGGGATTTTAATATTCTAAAAGTTGCAACTTTTCAAAAAAATGTTTGAGAAATCATAAAAATGTACGTGAATTCAAAAATGTTAGAAAATCATAAAAGTTTTGCAGATTCAAAAAATGTTGGTGTTTTTGCAAAACTGTTCATAAAATTATAAAAAATCACAATTTTTGGAAAAAATGGTCGGGAAATAAAATCATGTTCATGATTTTGAAAAAATGATCGTGTAATCAAAACATATTCGGGAATCTGAAAAAAATATCCATGCACAAAAATAAAAATAAAAATGTGTTCCCCAATTTTTTTAAAAAGGTTCGTCGATTGGAAAAATGTTTGTTGAGTCAAAAAATGTTAATGAATTCGAAACCGGTTCATACATTTAAAAAAAATGTAAACAAAACTAATGTTCATGATTTTTTTGAGAAAATTAAAAATTTCAAAACAAAATTGTCGATTCGAAAAGTGTTCACTGATTCAAAAGTATTTTATGTCCAGGATTTGATTAGTTTTTCGAAAGTCTTTATATATTTTGGCGTTGGGAGTAGTTCGTGGTCAATGAGATTTGTTTTTAAAGTTTTAGACGTTCCCTTGCGCAACATAATGATAAGTGTGGCATGCACTGGAAATTTCATAGCCTTGTGATTTACAACGGAATGCATTGTGATCACGTGGACATCGCGACCATCATCGGCTAGGGTGAGAAAAATAAAATAAATGGCAACATGGTGAGCCACTATGTTAAAATAGAGTATGCTCATACATCAGGATATTGAGTCATATTTATTTGGTGAGCCATAATATTTTGTCTCCCGTTGCAACGCACGGGCATATTTGCTAGTCTTACCAAAGTCACTAAACTAACTCGCAAACGGCAGTCTAACAGGGGAGATTCCACCAGAATTAGGTCTTATGCAGGAACTCTCTTATCTTGATCTTCAATACAACCAATTGACTGGTAAATTTCCAGCTTCGCTCGGTAACTTGTCCAAATTGTCTTACCTAAATTTCCAAGTGAATCACTTGTCCGGTCAAGTACCATCAATGCTTGGAACAAATACAGTTTTGAATATTCTTGCTTTGGGAGACAACAATTTAGAGGGGAATCTAGATTTCTTGTCAGCTCTTTCCAAGTGCAGACAACTCCAATTCCTTGATTTCGAAAAAAATCGTTTTACAGGCACCATCCCTGGCTATGTGGGAAACTTCTCTTCACATTTAAACTATTTTGGTGCAGGTGCCAACCAGTTGATGCCTTCCAGTAGCAATTTCAAATATAAGCAACCTTCTATGAATTGATTTTCGGGATAACCTATTCACCGAGCCAATTCCAGAATCTATCACTACGCTGGAAAATCTTGCATGGCTTGATCTCTCCTGGAATAACATGCCAGGCCCTATCCCTACACAAATGGGTATGCTTCGAAGTCTAGAACGATTGTTTCTCCAAGCCAACAAATTATCAGGCTCCATACCAAGAAACTTTGGTAATCTTAGCTGGTTAGAAAGCTTAGACTTGTCATATAACCAGTTAAGCTCAACGATACCGACGAGTTTCTTCCACCTGGATAAACTTATCACACTTGATCTTTCACACAATTCCTTTACTGGTGAAGTACCGGTAGATGTTACTGGTCTAAGACAAACCTATCAAACTTTGGTAATCTTAGCTGGTTAGAAAGCTTAGACTTGTCATATAACCAGTTAAGCTCAACGATACCAACGAGTTTCTTCCACCTGGATAAACTTATCACACTTGATCTTTCACACAATTCCTTTACTGGTGAAGTACCGGTAGATGTTACTGGTCTAAGACAAACCTATCAAATAGACATATCTTCTAACTTGTTGATAGGAAGCATACCAAAAACATTTGGACAACTTAGTATGCTTACCTACCTAAATCTATCACATAACTCTTTCAAAGGCTCAATTCCAGTTCAACTCGAAAAAGTAAAAAGCCTAGCATCATTGGACCTCTCGTTTAACAATCTCTCTGGTACCATTCCAATGTTCCTTGCTAACTTGACGTACTTGAATACCTTGAACCTATCATTCAATAGGCTAGAAGGACAAATACCCGAGGGAGGTGTTTTCTCAAACCTCACATTGAAATCTTTGGTTGGGAACCCTGGACTATGCGGCGCTCCGCGGCTAAGATTTCCACCATGCCTTGATAGAAATCGTTCAAGTAAAAGCCACTTGCTTCCATTTCTACTGCCAACCCTCATATTAGCTTTTGGCGCCATTGCCATTTACGTATACCTATGGTTCAGAAAGAAACTTAAGAAGGGAAAGGACAATGTTTCTGTTGATCCAACTGATGCCATAGGCCATCAGATAGTCTCCTATCATGAGCTTGTTCGTGTCACCAATAATTTCCATGATGAAAACATCTTGGGATCCGGAAGCTTTGGAAAAGTCTTTAAGGGCCAACTGAGCAGTGGTTTGGTGGTTGCGATAAAAGTTCTTGACATGCAACTAGAGCAGGCCATCCAAAGCTTTGATGCGGAGTGTCGAGTGCTTCGTATGGCACGACACCGCAACCTGATAAGGATACTTAACACATGTTCCAACCTTGACTTCAGAGCCCTGGTGCTTCAATACATGCCAAATGGTAGCTTAGAGATGCTCCTTCATGGATCACAAAGCACAACAACGCGCTTGGGATTCCTTGAGAGGCTGGGCATCATGCTTGATGTTTCGATGGCAATGTCTTATCTACACCATGAGCACTATGAGCTGATCTTGCATCGTGACTTGAAGCCTAGCAATGTGTTGTTTGACGAGGACATGACGGCGCATGTGGCAGACTTTGGCATTGCAAAGTTGGTTCTAGATGACAACTCCATGATAAGTGCGAGCATGCCTAGAACAATTGGGTACATGGCACCAGGTATTTAATTAGCTAGATGTTGTTATTTTTCTCAGCAAACATTTGTTTGAACCAATGATAAATTACGACTCTACTCAAAACAACATGGTTGAGCAACTACATCTAATCTATATTTTGTTCTTTCTCAAACAGAGTATGGGTCACTTGGAAAAGCATCGCGGAAGAGCGACGTCTTCAGCTATGGGATCATGCTCCTTGAACTCTTCACTGGAAAGCGACCCACTGCCACTATGTTTGGCGCACAATTAACGCTCAGGCGGTGGGTTCATGAGGCATATCCTGCAGAGCTTGTCAAGGTCGTCGATGGACAGCTATTACATGGCTCCTCTCTTTCTAGCTGCATCTTGGACGATGGCTTTCTTGCTTCAATATTTGAGTTGGGTTTGATTTGTTCTAGCGACTCTCCAGACCAGCGAATGACGATGCACGATGTGGTCGTGACGCTGAAGAAGGTCAAAGCTGAGTACACTAAACAGACAACAAAAACATGACGTGGCACAACGGAATTATCGTTCTCCCTTGTTGCTTGCTATAACTATATACAGATGTATCTGTTCTCATTTTGTCACTTACTGCAGCACATGCCTTTTGGGTCGTATTATACACTTGACACATATAGCTAGTTCGAGTGCATATGTATACAGGATGAATTCTACCTGTATAAGTATAGCTAATTCGACATACATAAATATACATGATGTCTTAATTCCATAATAAATATACATAAATATACATAAATATACTTGTGTACATATAAATAATTTGAACTAGCTACTATGTCTTAATTCCATAATAAAGCGGTCCACTTGAGTGTTGCGATATGGCTCCCGGTGACAAGTAGCCATTTGTTTTGAAAAAAATTGAAATTGACCTTTATAAGTTTGAAAAATCTGATTTTGTTTTTTACCAATTCGTGGGAGATGGCGCAGATTGAAACAGAGGGAGATGAGGAGAACACTTAGAGAAAAGGGGGAAGTGGGCGCAGTTACCCAAATTCGACACGCCCCCCTCCCTCCACCTGATATGAATGTGTCGGGAGGAGTGGGGCGACACTTGGGATTGGGTAGGCTCCGGGGTGCAACTGCAGCGGGTCGCTTAACGGCTAGAAGGAGACGTGCTAGAGAAGAGAATGCACGAATCGAACCCACCATGCAGGCAAAACTCGCATGGGCTGAACTAAACATGTCTAACGTTGTTTAAACTTCAAACCTGAAACGTTGGATAGAAATTCAACAAGATCTGATGTGTTCAATAATGATGCAAAAAGATTGTGGTGTGGCAGTTACTTTTCTCAAGTTATATTTGAGTCATGGTAACTTTTCGCTTTTACTTATATAGTTCACCGTGATGCTACGTACGTTAAAAAACACCATATTTTCGAGAGATTATAAGCTATAAAATATGTTACTCATTTAACAAAATGACTTACTAGCACTACTTTCATGGACCAAACGAGTCTGCAGTATGAATGACATTTAGTTCATCGACTTCATATTTGCTTGCCGAATCCTGAGATCTCTGAACACAAAAAACATGGCTTTACATACATTTGCACTACTGGCAATGACGAAACAACTTGTATTATGCCGGACTATACTTCTATCTGATGTTACTTTATACAATCCAGGTTTCACAAGAACAATTTGCAGGCACCCAAAAAATCTCAACTCAGCATTACTGCTGTTACTGTCCCAGGTAAAGGGGAGCTGCCGAAGATATGCCACTTCATATATTCTTCCAAACTATGCCTACTTGCAGAAACCAATTAGGTAACACATCTGGTTTTCCATGTGCCAGAAATTTGGGCAGCAAAGACAAAACCGAATCTGGAGACAGGACCGTTCCTGGAACTCAATCGCTTCCGTACTTTTTAGGTTTTCGGACTCGTTGGCTCCTCCGCGTGTCCACAGCTACAAAAACAGGCTTTTCATTCTTCAAATTGTGCAGATCTTTCACAGTTCTCTTCTTTGCAGGTACATCAGGGGACTTCTCGATTTGCTCTTCCAAAGGAGGCAGAGAGCTCCCAGATTTCTTCTTTGGTTTCTTGCTTCGTTTATTTCCAGGGCCGACTTGCTTCACACTTGGAGCTATTTCATAAACTGGTTCAAGCTTAACTACCTGTCTTGCAACAGTTTCTTCTCCTCTGGAAAGAAGGGTGTTAGCAACCTTATTAGCCAGCTCCACATGATTCTGTGCTTCCTGCTTCACCTTCTCAAACTGCTGGTACCCTTCTACTAGGGCTGCTCGATTGTCTATTAGGACATCATCAGCATTCTGCAAATACAACCAAAAATCATCAGCTAAAAGTGTGTTCGACAAATGTCCATCCAAAAGTTGGTAGTATGTCTCCATTTCACAATAATTCAAGAAGAAAACTACAAATCTGATGCATGGTTTAATATTAAATTTGACTTAACTAGTTAGCTACAATCATGAATGGATGGTAACTCCAGAAAACATAAGGGAAACAACACGAATCATATGAGCTTCAGCACTGCTTCCTCATAAAAGTGCAAAACTGAGGCAACTAGCCACTTTCGACCAATAATACAGTAAACAGTGCCCAAAATCATTAGTTTCAGATTGTTACCCAACAATGCTCAGAAAATATGTCAACAATCTACTTCAAGGCGATTACAATTACAAAGACCTGCATTCGTACAACTGAAACTCCTAAGATGGTAACACTGAAAATATAGATTATTCATTACATTTGGCTCTGAATTGTCAAATTATAATTAATTTTTAAAAACTGTGGTTAAAATAGAGAAGACTGGTATGGAACATGAGCTTACTTCTTTGTATAATTCTCCTAGATGAGTATGATCAATTAAGGGATTATCTGCACCAAAGAGTGTCTCAAATGTGACTTTCTTTGCATATGGTTGTGTTGCACCTTCTTCTGCAATATTTCTCTTTCCACATTCCATCACATAGTCAGTGCACCTATCTGATAAAGTAGTTGGCACTCCAACAAGTGGTCTAGGTTTATCCTCCTCCTGAAGCAAACTATTCAGATCCCTCTTTTTCTGAGGATGGTGTCCATCCTTCTTACAAGAGGCTAACTGGGTTTGAGCCTTCTGACTCTTTGGAGGCACCTTAACTTGTGTGTGATTGCTGCAAACCTTGCTGAGATGACCTTGAAGCCTAAGGACTCGAGACTGGATACTATCAATTGTCCGAAGAATATCTGTTAAAGAATATTGTTCTAAGACCCTATCTGTTTCCTTAGACTCCGGTAATGTATTGTCAGGAACTCTTCTTTTGGTATCCTCAGCAACTGCATTAGAAATTACAAGCAAACCAAGGATTAGACATTGGTAAAATAAAACTACGCCGCACCATATATACAAAACAATGACCAAGATGCACGTGTTCTGGTTTTCCAACTTCAATAATCTAACTGTAATAACTACAATGACATTCAATATTGTTGTATCCCCATATATTATCAACAAATAAGTAATAACAAGATACATAAAGGGATGGACAATCAAAACAAATACGATAGATGCAAAAGCGGCTAACATATGTATATCAAGATCAAAGGCTGTAAAGATAGCAGTGGTGGAGCTACATCCACATCTTTGGGTGGGCCAAAATGGACCAGCTTAAAAAATACTAGTACAGTACATCTGAAATTTTGCTCTTAGGGCCCAAAATTCACCACCAGTCTTCAATAATTTTTTGTTGAGCTGGGCGGGCCATGGCCTGGTTTTGCCCAGCCGTAGCTCCGCCACTGAAAGATAGTAAAGTGAGTCCAAGCAGTAGTTTGCACCCAACAAATTTTTGCAAGTATGTCACATCTCACAACTTGCCTGCACTGATTAGCAGGGTCGCTAATTCCGCTCGAGTCATATTAAGTAGGTAATTAGTGTTTCCCTTTCTTTTCTAAATGAGAGCAATGTGCATTCTTTGAAAGAAATAACTTCTAGAAAAGAGGTAACCTAAAACTAATAATAAAAGTTACTTGCCAAACCCACAGTTGTGTAGCACAAACAACTAATGTTATATGTACATAGGACATAACTATGATAAAGATTACACTTTCTACTTTCAAACTAATAAAATAGGAGAACTTTGAGTGCAAGGGCAAAGCCATCCACCATACCTGCATCATCATAAATCAACAGACCATCTGTTTCAGCTCCACTATTTCTGTTTTTGCTTTCTGCAAAAGAAGGAGACACGTCATCATTACCAAGTATCAGTACAAGCTCAGTGCAAAATACGGATCTACTGCAGGATATAAAATTTAAATTTTCTTGCCCTGCAGAATAAGGATAGATGTCAAACCATGATAATAGGATAATATTTGATGACTATCCATGTACAATGAGGTGTCCACGATGTCTTCAAGCCTTTGCCGTTGTCTCCTCTTCATAATATTTCTATCATGGCCTTGGGCATCCTGTTTTGCCAGTTCTGGACCAGAACTATCGGTTGCAATCATCTCAGACTGCAGATCTTTTTCATGACTGATTAAAGCAAGTTCCCTGTCATACTTTGCTACTTGCGACGAAAGCTCCTTCATACGCAATTCTAACCACTGGCATCGCCACATAATTGGGCGAACGGCCTCTCTCCACTCAGCTGTCACTTGCTTCTGTCTGAAACATGATTTATGTCATTTACAAACTATTAATAATAAGAAAGGAATACAGAGTACACAAAACAAAATTCATCTATAAATAGGACCCTGATAAGAGCCACACGTGTGGCACAAAACAATTCCGCCCTGACGTTTTTTAATGGCAACTTTAGTTACCCGGGGATGGCAACTTTAGTTGTGAATTATGGCAACTTTCTATTTGGATGACAAGTTTCAGTTTTTTGGGGTTTCATTTTTTCTTATGGCAATTTTAGTTGTAAAAACGGCAGGGCGGTGTTACTTTGTGCCACACGTGTGGCACTTATCATTTGGGTATAAATATCACATATAAGAAGTATTACGCATTCATGCGCCAATCTTAATCGCCCCTAATCTATGTCAACGTAAGGCACCCCAAAATAGGCATGCTTTCACTTGTGCAGGTGGGGCCTGTTTCACACTTCGAATTTTGCAGTTTTAAGTCATGAAATTTGGTGACGACAGGGCATGTGTAAAAGGGACACAGCAGCACATGTCAGATTAGTTCTTATTTTATTGTTATTATGGTAATCAGTAAAAGAAATTATCCATTTTACAGTATCCAGTAATTCTATGAATAGGACATGTCCGATCTTTCTTTTGTGTCGAAACAAAATCATGCTAAGACAGAATCGAAATTTTTACAGGGGCCTTGCGGAGATATGTGCACCTGGCCATCTTTGGAAGAGAAGCGGCGCCGTCCACATTGAAATTACCCAGGAAAGGCGAGTCCACCTCCATGTCGTGCATGCCTGACTTGGTCTCGTCATCAGAAACAGAGCAGGAGGGCCCAAATGAGCTCGAGCACTCCGTGCTGTCCCCATGGCCGTCTTCGGAGAGGAGAAGATTGTCAGCAGCCGTGTCACCTGAAGACTCGATCGTCTCCACCGTATGACCACGGACAGGCACCGGCGCGCCGGGGCCGGGGCGAGCAGGGGGGTGGGGGCGAAGAAGGTTACCCCGACAGCTGGCCCTGCCATCGGCGACATGACCGCTGCTGCCCACCGCCGGAGCCGCTGGCATGGCCAAAAAGCAAGAAAGATACCCGACCGCGGAGACCAGAGGAAGAAGAGGAAAATGCGCCTCCTGCACGCCTCCCCGAAAAATTCCCCAGGATCAAGAAACCCCCTGCAGACCAGGGGCGGATCTAGACGGACGGCGCGCGCCCATGGATCGCGGGACTGGACTAGTCGCCGGACGAAAACCGCCCCATACCTCACAACCGAACGGCTGCCGACTCCGGACAGAGCGGAGGGGGCAGGAACGCGACGCCCCGACGAGGAAGGACGGGGACGGCGGTGGGCTGCAGGAGCGATTGCTCGGAGCGG